ATGTATTTACTGTTGAAATATATGCTTTTGTTGACTGAAGTAAACAGACGCACTGACACGCAGACAGTCACAGAAACGTTCAAACAAACACAAAGACAGACAAATAAACAAACGAACAAGTAAAAAAACAAGCAAACAAACACACACACTCACACACTCTACCAAACAAACACACACACTCACACACTCTACCAAACAAACACACACACTCACACACTCTACCAAACAAACACATACTCAAAAAACAAGCAAACAAACAACTAATTCTATTATGTCCCCTGTCTCCCCCCCCGCTCCTAGAAGAAAGACACTGATACTCGATACACTCCCCAATTCCAGTAGAAAGAGTGATACTCGGTAAAATAGACCTCCTCCCCACTCCCAGAACAAAGACAGCGAGAAGGAAAAAAAAGAGAAAAAATAAGCCCATGTATGTAATCAAAAACATCAGCTGAAATCAAAGACTGCTCTTCCAGGATTACAGTCGCTCTTTAAAAAGGGCTTACGGTTTTGCTATGCTCTTTGATCTTTCATTTTTGAGTAAGGAATATTTGTGAGGAAGCGTGGTAGAATCAGGCTCTCGTCAATTTTTGGACATGTAGAGTTATTGCTATCATCTTAAAGCTTGTTCACTAGTGTTTATTTTGATGAAAAAAATATCCATTTATCTTGAATACAAGTCAAGATATTTGAGAATGAAGGAGTTGGGGGTCACCTGTTTTCAGAGGAAAAATTAGTTAGAAAATGGCTGCCAAAGATTCATTATTTCCCTTGCTTAAGAGTCCATGGTGACTAACAATGTCCATTTTTTGTGCCTTTAATCAACGTTTTTTCAGAAAAATTCCTCTCCGAAATGAGTTCTTTAATGGGCATGAACGGTGTTGAGCCAAAAAAACAAAAATTTGATAAAAATTCACAAACCAGCAGAAAAATGCAAGTTTCTTCACTTTGATTATTTTGACGAGAGCCTGATTCCACCACGCTGCCTCACATTTTCTCTTTAAAATAAGTCGCGTTCATACGATCAATGCTAGATTACTAATCTTAGAATGTTCAGAATATGGCTTGACCCGTGAGATTTTTAGCTTTGCCCTCACGTTTTTACTTTGAAGAATGACACTTTCTGTTGATATTTTAGCTCAGTGTAGAGTTTAAGGCTTTGTGTTTGGTCGCTTTTAAGCACAAGGGGGCTCTCCCGAAAAATGCTGATTTAAGAAAATCGAAAGTAAATTTTTTGCCCCTTGTTCAGTTTCTTTAAAAGACAAGGAGAGTTTTCTCTATAACCAAACAAATATACACACTAATGAAACCAAACTTCTCCTATAGGTAGGACAATGCCCGTTTTTGGTGTAGGTCAAGATTTCTGGAAACCCTCAAAATCTCCTTAAAAGCGACCATTTACAATGTCCAGTCTCTAATTCCTAGCACTTTTTCCCGTTCCCATTTCTCCCACTGGTCTCTCTCTGTGTGCCCCATAGACCCATAGACCATGGTCTCTCTCTGTGTGCCCCATAGACCCATAGACCATGGTCTCTCTCTGTGTGCCCCATAGACCCATAGACCATGGTCTCTCTCTGTGTGACTCATAGACCCATAGACTATGGTCTCTCTCTGTGTGCCCCATAGACCATGGTCTGTCTGTGCCCCAAAGACCCATAGACCATGGTCTCTCTGTGCCCCAAAGACCCATAGACCATGGTCTCTCTGTGCCCCATAGACCCATAGACCATGGTCTCTCTCTGTGTGCCCCAAAGACCCATAGACCATGGTCTCTCTGTGCCCCAAAGACCCATAGACCATGGTCTCTCTGTGCCCCATAGACCCATAGACCATGGTCTCTCTCTGTGTGCCCCAAAGACCCATAGACCATGGTCTCTCTGTGCCCCAAAGAC